AATCCCTAACGTAGAGTTAGCCTTTTTCGCCGCTGAAAGTGCTGCCTCTTGGAGGAGTGACCCCAGCATGTACTTGTAAAGGGTCTCAAGACTTACATAGACTCAAGACTTAGAGTATTCCAACTGAAGCCGCACCATAGATCTACACACGGGCATTACAACATCAGCTGTTTTAGTCTCAGTCCCCTTTCCTAATAATCCCTAACATAGAGTTAGCCTTTTTCACCTTTGTGGGTTGACACTTTCATTGGGCTATCTACTGCAACCCCAAGGTCTTTTCCCCTCTCAGTCGCAGCAAGTTCAGACCCCATTAACCTATACTTGAAGGTGGGATTTTTTTTGTCCCAATGTGCATCATCTGACATTTGCCAACATTGAAATTCATCTGCCACTTTTTCGCTTACTCATCCAGTTTATAGAGGTCCCCCTCAGCGCTTCATAGTCAGCCTTGGTTTTCACCCTCCTAAATAATTTGGTGGCATCTGCAAACTTGGCCACTACACTACTCGCCCCTAGTTTCAGATCACTGATGAATCAATTCAAAAGTAATTGCCCCCGATACCGATCCTTGTGGGACCCCACTGCTTACTCCCCTCCACTGTGAGAACTGTCCATTGATTCCTACTTGAGTGTATCGAGGTTTATAAGATTATGCGTGGGATAGAGCAGTTCGAGAAAGAGGTACTTTTCTCCCTTTCTCACAATACAAGAACTCTTTGTGGGCACTCCATGAAATTGCTGAGCGGTCGGGTTAGAACGGATAAAAGGAAGCCCTTCTTCACCCAGAGAGTGATTAACACATGGGATTCACTGCCACAGGAGGTGGCGGCGGCTACAAGCACGGACAACTTCAAGAGGGAACTGGATAAGCGTATGGAGCTGAGGTCCATCAGTGGCTCTTAGCCACAAGGTATAGATAGGGCCTCTCAGTCTGGGGCAAGGGATGCTCTGTCTTCTTGGTGCTTGGGGGGGGGGGGCTACAGTGTGAGGGGCTTCTAGTGTCCTGGCCCCACTGCTGGACCTCCTGAGGGCCCCTGGTATTTTCGGCCACTGTGTGACACAGAGTGTTGGACTGGATGGGCTATTGGCCTGATCCAGCATTGGCTTCTCTTATGTTCTTATGAATAGAAATGTTTCAGCTTGGCACCCAAATACTAATAGAGTACACACGAACACATGAAGCCACCTTATACTGAATCAGACCCTCGGACCATCAAGGTCAGTCTTGTCTACTCAGACTGGCAGCAGCTCTCCAGCGTCTCAGGCTGAGGTCTTCCCCATCACCTCCTGCCTGGTCCTTTTAATGGGAGATGCCAGGGATTGAACCTGGGACATTTGGCACGCCAAAGAGAGGCTCTGGCGCTGAGCCACAGCCCCTCTTTACAGCTCTCCAAGGTCTCCGGCTGAGGGGTCTTTCACATCACCTTCTGCCCGGTCCTTTTAGTGGGAGATGCCAGGGATTGAACCTGGGACCTTCTGGCCCAAACCAGGGCTAGGGCGTTCTCGGTGGCGGCTCCCACCTGGTGGAATGAGCTCCCGGAGGAGATCTGGGCCCTGCGGGACCTAGTGCAGTTCCACAGGGCCTGCAAGACGGAGCTCTTCCACCAGGCCTTTGAGGGGGAGCCGCCGCCGCCACTATTCCACCAATGATATTCCAACCGTCTACCTAATATAGTAGGGGTAGATGTCGCCCAATAGAGCTGGGGAAACATTCTTCCTGGTGCTCCCGTTGGGAAGAACTTGGCCGCCAGTGTGGGACGTCGCCCATCTTGGATTTTATGTAAATTATCAGAGCACCAAATTTTATGTTAAGATACAGTGTTTTTATTATGCTGTTGTTTGTATGCATATTTTAACTTCTTTTTGGCACCTGGTATTTCTGGCCACTGTGTGACACAGAGTGTTGGACTGGATGGGCCTTTGGCCTGATCCAACATTGGCGTCTCTTATGTTCTTATGTAGACCCTCGGCCCATCAAAGTCTGTATTGTCTACTCAAATTGGCAGTGGCTCTCCAGGGTCTCAGGCTGAAATCTTTCACATCACCTCCTAGCTGGTCCTTTCAACTGAAGATGATGGGGATTGAACCTGGGAACCTCTGCATGCCGAGCAGATGCTGTGCCGCTGAGACACAGCCCCTCCCTAAAGTAGATGCCAGGCAAGCATTAAGGGGGCGGGTGTTTCATAGATGAAGAGCCACTCAGTACTAATGAGGCCTCGTCCCTGGATTCCAGTTTGCTGCCAGGACGAAGCGGGAAATGAGAACTTTTAATATGGAAGAAGCTTGCCGTTCCTTTTACACCCCCACCCCACCCCCAGATCTTAGATCCTGCGAAGGGGCCAGTGTGAACGGGTGTCTAAGAGTGGCAAAGGCAGTTAACGTGTGTGCCGTTCCCGTGGCTCCAGGTGCCGGTGACGTTTGACGACGTGTCCGTCTATTTCAACGAGAAGGAGTGGGAGAAGCTGGAGGAGTGGCAGAAGGAACTCTACAAGAACTTGATGAAGGGGAACCACGAATCACTGATCTCCCTGGGTAACGTCGCGTCTGCTGCTGGCCGGCCCGGGGAGCCCTCCTGGCCCTTTGGGTTTAGGGTGGGCTGGGGTTTTGGGCAGACAGCCACCCTCAGTTGCTCTGTCTCTGTCTCTGACTTGCATCCTCAGCGTGGTCTGTTTGTGTGGTCCTTGCTTGACCGGTGTGACGTCATGTCCTCGCTTACCCATCCCGGTATTCTGGACCTGTTTCTGTGCAGTTGATTGCTTCTATAGGAACCCTAAACAATAACGATAAACACAGTCTAATGTTGCAGACAGGAGCTGCGGTGGCTTAAGTGGTTAAGACTCTGAACTGCAGGCTGTGGAAGGTCAGTAGTTCAGCAGTTCGAGACCCGAGTGTGCCGCATGACGGAGTGAGCTCCCGTCTCTAGTTCCAGCTCCTGCCAGCCTAGCAGTTCGAAAGCAAGAAATTGCAAGTAGATAAATAGGGACCACTTTGGTGGGAAGGTCACAGCGTTCCGTGCGCCATGGTGTTTAGTCATGCCGGCCACTTGACCACGCAAACGTCTTCGGACAGCGCTGGCTCTTTGGCTTTAAAACGGAGATGAGCACCGCAACCCTAAAGTCGGACTCCCGAGCAAGGGAACCTTTACCTTTACCTAATGTTGCAGACAGCATCAAAAAACAACCGTGGACATCAGACCCCGAAGTATCAACAGTCAAACAACTTGTAATTGCAATGAATAGTGTCTATTTGAAGTGCATACAAAATACAGTTGTCAGTATGTCATATAGAGAATTTTATTCTTTTTTCTCTTCAATGAGTAATATCTGAATCATAGAGTCGGAAGGGGCCTCCGGGGTCATCTGGTCCAACCCCCTACACAAGGCAGGGAATTCACAAATACCTCCCCCTCCACACCGCCAGTGACCCCCTGTTCAGCGCCCAGAAGATGACAAAAAAACCTCCAGGATCCCTGGGGCCGAACCGGCCTGGAGAAAAATTGCTGCCTGACCCCAAAGGGGTGATCAGCATTTCCCTGGGCGTTTCCCTGTTTGACATGTGTACAGCTCACAATTATACAAAATACAGTTCCAATAAATCATAAGAAAAATCCTATTCAGTGTCATTTCTAGATTGTTTTCAACGTTTCAAATGGAATGCAGGGAATATCCTATGCAGAGCTCTGAGCCAGCCTTGGCTGGAAGGGCGGGGTAGAAATTTAATAAATCAAATCAAGCTCTTATGATTATGTCTGTTTTCAGTGAGAGCAATAACCAATCAGATGGGTGCAGACCACAAAACCTTCCTAAAGCGAATATTACAGATGTATCTATCTGGGTCCAAAAAACCCGCCCCTCTCTGTTTCAGATAGACATTATTCACTGCCTTTACAAGTTGTTTGGCTGTTGATACTTTGGGGTCTGATGTTCACGATTGTTTTTTGCCTCTATGGCGGGGGTGGCCAAACTTGCTTAATGCGAGAACCACATGGAATAAATTTCAGATGCTTGAGAGCCGCAAGACATGAGCAAAAATTACACACACTTTTTATTTAAAAATATGCAAATTTGCTTTTTATTAACATTAAATGAGACTACCAAAAATAAAAACAAGAGGGGAAAACAGATATGGATAATAATATCTATTTGTCCAATAATATTTACTTGTTTGCTAATGATAATTATTTGTCTAAAAGAGAGAGAGAGGTGGAAAGAAAGAACAAAATAGGTGGAAGGAGAGAGAGAGAAACAAAGAAAGCAAATAGATGGGGGAGGGAGGAGGAAGGGAGGAAGAGAGAGAAAGAAAGGAAGGAAGGGAGAAAGAGAGAAAGGAAGATGGAAAGAAAGCAAACAGATGGGGAGGGAGGGAAAAAAAGAAAGCAAATAGAGGACTTGGAGAGGGAAGTTAAAGAGACAAATGCCTTCCCCAAGCCGGCTGGGGGGGAGGCTTGGAGAATGCATTTACAGTTGCTTTCTTTCTCTGCTTTCCCCCCCACCTCAAGCCTACCTGGGGAGGGGAACCGGCTGGGTAAGGGAAGACCAATCAGGGAGGCATACCTCCCCTTCTCTTCCCCAGCCGCCTTGCCGGGAGCTGCACAATACGTGTGAAAGAGCCGCAGTTTGGCCACCTCTGTTCTATGGGAACCCATAGAACCAATCAGGGAGGCATCCCTCTGCCCTGGTCTGTGCCTGATTTCGGCAACTGTGCTGATAAGCAATTTTAAGCTGTGGGAGGCCGAAGGGGCCTTTGTTGCCTTTCAGTGAGCCCTTAGTAATATGTGGCGGCTTTCTTAAGGAGGAAACAGGAGGTGCCTCCTAATTGGTGCCTATATGCAGGGGTGATTTCGTAGAAAAAGAATGCAGGAGCTCATCAGCATAACTCATTAGCATAACTTATTTGCATAAGGCACACCCCCTGACATCACCGGAAGTGTGTCAGAAGGCAACACCCACCGCTCAGGCTCCGCTGGGCTGTTTTGAATTGCTAGCTATTGGGTGGGGGGGAGAATGTGTAGATCTGTCCTCACAGAGGAGGGAGAGCTTGTACCTGAATAAAACTTGGTTTTAAAGGTGCCACTTGACTGTTTTGGACCGGGGGGCCGGGGGGGGGGGCTCTGCAGCTTACCTGGCTGCTTCATGCTCTGACTGAGGGCTGCTGGGAGCAGGGGGTGGGGCTTGTTGCATGTGCCCCCCCGGGCTCTTTACTGCCGGAGCTCCGCTCCTGTGCGCTCCTGCAGGAAACGACCCCTGCCTATATGTAAGAAGTCTGAATGGCCCAGACTAGCCTGGTCTGGTCAGAGCTTCGAAGCATGGTCAGTACTTGGGCGGGAGACAAGCGAGGAAGCCCAGGGTTGCTACGCAGAGGCAGGCAATGGCGAACCACCTCTGAAGGGCCCCTCGCCTTGACCTGCGCGGCCCAGGCTAGGCCTGATCTCGCCAGATCTCAAAAGCTAAGCAGGGTCCGCCCTGGTGAGTGCTTGGATGGGAGACCACCACGGTGCCACTCAGCCGAGGGCAGCTTCACCTGCACCTGCACAGATCAGTCCAGGATTGCCACCTTGCCTGTGGCCATCCTTCCCGCTCTCGGGGCACAGGACGTGTGTGAGGGAACGGCAGGTACCTTGTTTCCTGTAATAGTTCTGTGCAACACCCCCGACAGCTGTGAAAAGCAGCAGAGATGCATCTGGACTATGGGGATGAGCAGTGTTGAAAGAGCGTTTCTGGTTTGCAAAAACTCATTTGTTACGAGGGCCGGATCTGACATCAATGAGGCCTTGTCGGTCTGAGCCACGCGTGTCATAAAACGTAACGCCAGGGAGCGGAGATATAAAGTTTTTATAAAGGACACAAACACAAAGGGTTTTTTTTTAACTCAAAATAAAAATATGCTTAAAACATCAGCACTCTTGCAATATTTTGTTTATTTAAGAGTGTCTGATGACTGACACCTCTTGCTCTGAATTGTTGCCTCAAAATGTCTGTGCTGTCGCAGTCTTGAGTGTGCTGGTTCATGTGTGTATCTGTAAGCTGCAAACCTACGATGAGCAGCAGCAGCAGAACTGGACGATGAAGCAGGAGACAGCCAGTTCCACTGTGGGCCTGATCCGGCCCCTGGGCCGCATGTTTGACACCCCGATCTAACCCATGCCATTATTCTGTGGCCTGCCCTACCTTGCAGGGTCGTTGTTGTAAGAAAGCTGGAGGGACTGATGTTCTGAACTGCTCAGAGTCCCAGCTTGGGAGGGAAGTGAGATATAAATCAAATCAATGCAAAGAGTGGGAAATGGGTTGTGTTGTTTTTAATACATGAAATCAACAACCCAAGGGGTCGTTCTGAAATATATCCAGAGTATAATTACCCCTCCGCTCCCCACCCCAGGAGTTTTCATTTTCTTGTTTTGTTTGGTTGAGACAAGCCGGCAGGATCACTCCCGTGCAGAGCCAGGATGACCTTGACCCCAGTCCTTCCCTTCCAGCTGGGTGCTCCTGGCAGTAACGGCATCGCTGTGCGTGTTTTGCGGACAGCTTATTAAAGGGGACGGTCCTCCGCCTCCATGTCGCTCTTTGCCTCACACCCAGGGCTTTTTTTTGCAGAAAAAGGGCGTGGCCTATTATGCTAATGAGCTCCTGCTGGGCTTTGTAGCAGGAACTTCTTTGCATGTTAGGCTACATACCCCCTAATGTAGCCAATCCTAATGAGTTTCTGCAGTTGGGCGTGGCCTATTATGCTAATGAGCTCCTGCTGGGCTTTGTAGCAGGAACTTCTTTGCATGTTAGGCTACATACCCCCTAATGTAGCCAATCCTAATGAGTTTCTGCAGTTGGGCGTGGCCTATTATGCTAATGAGCTCCTGCTGGGCTTTGTAGCAGGAACTTCTTTGCATGTTAGGCTACATACCCCCTAATGTAGCCAATCCTAATGAGTTTCTGCAGTTGGGCGTGGCCTATTATGCTAATGAGCTCCTGCTGGGCTTTGTAGCAGGAACTTCTTTGCATGTTAGGCTACATACCCCCTAATGTAGCCAATCCTAATGAGTTTCTGCAGTTGGGCGTGGCCTATTATGCTAATGAGCTCCTGCTGGGCTTTGTAGCAGGAACTTCTTTGCATGTTAGGCTACATACCCCCTAATGTAGCCAATCCTAATGAGTTTCTGCAGTTGGGCGTGGCCTATTATGCTAATGAGCTCCTGCTGGGCTCGCAGCTATTGGGCGGCCCCCGGCAGGGCGGCTGGGAAAGTGAAGGGGAGGCATGGCTCCCTGATCGGTCTCCCCTTCCCCAGCCAGTGTGTCCCTCCCTGGTATTA